GAATCGTGCCCCAGGGTCTAGATCAGTGCCTGGCTCTCAGTGGATCCTAACAAAAAACCCTGATGAATGAATAGGTCAGTGACGGGGGGAGTCCGTAAAGTTTCCTGTGCACATCCTAAGCTTACCCAAGGAACTGTCTCATTTTTCTCAACAGCCTTGAGGAGTCGTTCTGGCCGCTCCATCATCAACGGGAACTGGGCAATCGACCGTCCCGGAAAATATGAGGGTGGAGGGACGATGTTCACCTACAAGCGCCCCAATGAGATTTCGAGCACTGCGGGAGAGTCCTTTTTGGCTGAAGGTCCCACTAACGAGATCTTGGATGTCTATGTGAGTTTGAATGTTTCTGGACTGTTCTCTGGATTTTGTATCTTGTTGCTTCTAAGGAACACACTTAGAACCAATAAGCAACCAATCATTGCCCGTGCTCAATAAAATCACTTGAGCGGAGCCTGTTTGAGGTACCCCTTAAATGCTTGGCATTCATCTTTGCCATTTACCTCTGAACATACCTAGCTCATAGAAACCTTAAATTCTACCAGATGTTTATTACCCTCTGAGTTTATTGACCCAGTAAAACCAATTTTACTTGTTGAACCAAATCAGAGCACATACCTAGCTCATAGAAACCTTAAATTCTACCAGATGCTTATTACCCTCTGAGTTTATTGACCCAGTAAAACCAATTTTACTTGTTGAACCAAATCAGAGGCAAAACACATCCTTTATTTCATGAGTGTTGGATCTCCTCCAGGCACTTTCCTCCTAATGCTAATTTGGCATGTTTTCTTTTTATGGCAAAAGAAAGCAAATGCCTTAAAGCAAGACCGCTCACAGTTCCCAATCCTCTTCAAACTCTATTAAAGTAAGTGAAGAAACGAGAACTCCAGAGTACTCCAGATGAAACAATAAAGCTTGGATAACAATATGGAGGTTTATTGGAAGTTGCCTGCTTCACAGAAGACAGAATTTTTATTTACTTTACATGAAACTAAAATCTTAAGTTGCCCAAGAGTTAAAAATGGTCCTTATTTGTATGTGTGAGTGTGAAAAACAAACACTGTCATTCCTCTACACTCTTACTCAACAACAGTCCACACAGACGACAGACTTCTGTGTGGGGACTTCTCCCCACTGACAAGCAGACAAGCAACCAGTCCCCAGCGGGCACCAGCGGGGTGTCCTCCAATTCAATTCCGACACTATCCACCCAGAGATAGTGTCAGATCCCACAGGTTGAGGGCTCAGTCCCCAAGACTGCCCCCACTTCAGATGCCAGTCGCAAGTCCAGGCCTCTGGAACTTCTGACTGATCAGCTATAAATCAGGGTGGGTTCAATTAATTTGCAGAGGGGCTCACAGAACTCAAGGTAACACTTACTTACATTTGCCCATCCAAAGGATATTTTAAAGGATGCAAATAAACAGCCAGATGAAGAGATCTGGAAGGGTCCCGAGTGCAGGACTTCCGTTCCCATGGACTTGGGGAATGCCACCCTCCCAGCAGGCAGATGAGTTCAGCTGTGCAGAAGCTCTCCAGACCTGGACCTCTTGGGTGTTTATACAGGCTTCATTATATAGGCTTGATTGATTAAATCATTGGCCACTGGTGATCGACTTAACCTTTGGCCCCTCTGCCTTCCCTGGAGGTTGGGGAGTGGGACTGAAAGTCTCACTTTGGTCTTGCCTGGGGGCTGCCAGCTATCATCAGCATCTGAAAAGACTGATCATTTTGTCTAAGAACTTTAGGAGTTGTATGTCAGGAGCTGAGCATGAAGAGCAAATACATATTTTGTATTTTCACAATATCACATTGTTTTTAAAAGAAACCGCTAGAATCCAGTCTTCTCAAAGGATCAGGAAATAAAGGGTGACAAGAAATAAAAGCTTGAAATAACGTTTGGATAGAAAGAATGAGTTCGCCCATAAATGTACGTACTTTTGCCGTCCCAAGTCCATTCTCATCTCCATGGTATTTGCTGTGTCAGAGCTTTAGGAACGTTATTAGTTGCATTGTTGTTAGTCCTCGAGCTATTCAGTTCTACGTCCATTCCTCTTGGGCCTAGTGAACTTGAAATTACAAAGGAGTCCTTGTTGTAGTTAATTTTGGACTTTTTTAGACCATTCAGTTGGTTGGTGAACTCTGGGCAGATTTCGAATGGCATCAGAGGTAAGATCTCTCAGCTTGTTAGAGGCCTACGTGGGTGGCCTAGGAATGGCAGCCAACAATAATTACATACAGGGGCAAGGTTTGCGCTGGCAGAATGCTCACACAGGACAGGCACAGGAGACATAGGGAGAATTTTCAGCCTCAGACTGAGTGGCCGATTGTGTGAAAAGGGAAGTGAGAGATGAGGGGAGACCGCAGGAACCCCAGGTCACACACTGTGTCCCTCAGGGGTTCCGTGCTCACCACCACGTTTCCGCAATGCCGATGGTTTGGTAGTGGTTCCTACGTGTAAAGAGCCCAGTGTTCTCATGTCTGCCTTCCTTTGGGTGATTTATAGAATGGAGACCCATTTCACAAGTAGGGGCAAGAGATTATGGATTAAAGGGAAAGAATAAACACAGGGCCCCCCATGCAGGAGTGGCTCAGACATGCTTTTAGCTAGAAAGGACCTAAGAGATCTGCTGTGATTTTAACCTCCTCTGGATGAAGAAATCAAAATCTGTGGGACTGAGGGACTTGCTCTCTGTTACACAGCTCATAGCAGGAGAGCTACTTTATAAAGCAGTAGAGACAGAAATAGCAAAATGGGACAGTGTCTCCTGGCTTTGCACATATTCACACTGTAGATTCTTGTCGACTGCTGTGTTTAGCCCACCACCCTGCTTCCCACCACGAAAGCCAGGGGCATGAAGGACTTTGTGCTCCAAAGCCTGTAGGGAGGGAGCTGTTCTGCTGGGCCGTGCTCATCGGTTGTACTGGTTTCTGTCCCGGGCAGTGTTCAGCTGCTGACTCGCACACTCCTGTGTAGCTTCCTGCTGACTGTCCTGTTTTTGTCCTTGGTTCCTGAGAGAACATGACCCTGGGATTCTTACTTCCCTTTTACCTTGTTTTCCTGACCCCATCTCTGTGGTTCTGGGGTTTTGCATGGATGAGAGGGGGTGGGACCCAGACAGCCAACGAGGGAGAGGACTGGGGCAGACCTTGAACCAGCATTGCGGGCAGGTAGAGGACTTTGAAGGAAACTAAAGGATTCCCAGCTGGCTCTGCCAAGGTCTGGTCCTTGTTTGAGTGACTGTCTTGCCACCTAGTGTTCAAACAGGTTCTCCTGCGGGGCAAACCTATTTATCTATTCGGGACATTTTGGGAGCACTGAGCAAAATCTAATGCAATCCGTGGTGTCGGAGGGGCGGGAGCCCACAGCAGAGTCCTGCTACCATTGCCCCTGTCTTCCTATTGGAATTTATACTTTATCAACTCTTAGTCTAGTTTTCTTCTGATTCTCTCGAAGACTAAGTTCTTCATTCTTTGAAAGCAATTGATGAAAAGCCATCTGGAAATAACTTCCTTTGATCTTCCGCAGGCTCACAGTGATAGTACTGCGTGTGAATCAACCACTCAATTATAGGTAGTTCCACTTACACCACTGAACCCACAGCAGCAGGAGGGGGGTGTGATGCGTGCCACGTGCGGTAACATTGACTTTTGTGTTGTCAGATGATACACCAACAGCCCAACCCAGGAGTCCACTACGAGTATGTCATCATGGGGACTAATGCCATCAGTCCTCAGGTGCCGCCTCACAGGAGACCAGGTAAGTCCCTGTGTTGCTGCCAAGCACTGTAGGTCATTTCCTCGCAAAGCCCTCTCTCTCTACTTGTGCATCTGCCCTCTGTCTCTCGATCGACACCGAGAAAACCTATGGACACGTATTTGAAAGTCAGGGCCTTGTTATCAGAGCGTGTCTCACCACTGGTCTGAGCCTTCACTGATAAGACCGTTTCATTCACTAGATTCAAAATCGAAGTGAGCATCCTGGGTCTGCCACTTCCACATTCCTTCTGTCAGTTTCCTGTTGCTGCTGCAGCAAGTTAATTCAAATTTGATGGCTTAAAACAACACAAGTTTGCTATCTTACAGTCTGGACGTTAGAAGTCTGAAATGGGTTTCACTAGGCCAAAACCAGGGTATCAGCAGGGCCACACACTCTCCGGAAGCCCTAGCAGAGAACCATTTCCTGGCCGTTTTCAGCTTCTAGAGACCACCCGCCTTCCGTGGTTCCTGGTGCGTCCCCCATCTTCACGGCCAGCGAGGCAGCGTCTGCAAATCTCCGTCTGACTCTGGCCTCTTCCGTCGTCATGTCTCAGCCTCTTCTCTCCTTCCTGTATAAGGACCCTGGAGATGATATTGGGCCCACCCCAGATAATCCAGGATAATCTCTCCATCTCAAAACCCTTAATTTAATCACATGTGCAAAGTTCTTTTTGCCAATATAAGGTAACATATTCACAGGTTCCAGGGATTAGGACATGGACATCTTTGCGGGGCCATTATCTGTTTACTATATGCCTTTTCTCTTGATCCATAAGAAAAGAATAACGAGTTCACATCTAACAGTCCACCTGGGGTCTTCCCAGTAGGCTCCGCTTCTAGACGGAGCAGGCAGCTTCCACTGGTGCTGGGTACGGAACGGTTCTCTGGCTCTGCAGATATTTCCCCACCAGATGATGTGGAGCCCACCACCCAAATGGAGATCATCTTTTCCTTCTTTAGAGCAGGAAGGTCCGCAGACATATTAATACTATTAGCTCACATGCACTGACTCCTTGCTGTGTGCCAGACACTGTGCTGAGCACTGTACATAGATTAAGTCATTGAATTCTCACAACACTGCACAGAGGGGGGTATTGTTATCAGACTCATAAAGAAATGGGAGCTTAGGGAGATTGTTACTTGTTCAGGTCCCACACCTGGGCAGTGACTTCAGGCCAGCCAGTGTGACTAGACCCTGTCTTGTTGTACTGCCTAGAGGTTACCTGGTCCAATGCCTGTCCTAGAAAGGGAGGGGACGGATGCCAGATCTGGCTTGTCTACCCTTCTCCTGGCTCATATTCGCTTGGATAACCAGGTTATCTGATTGTCACAGGTTGAGGAGGAGCCACCTAGCTGCCTGGAGACAACAGCCTGGTGTGTGCCCAGCACATGGAGTGTTATGTTGTCCAGACTCCTAGTCAGCACACTGAGCTCAGCAGGGAATTTTTATGACATTTCCAGGAGCAATACACAGTCTGAGAAACCAAGTGTAGATACAAAATATTGGGATTACTGGGTCTGTTGCTGATATATAGGGACAATTGGACAGACTGTTTGAAATCAAACAGGATGATGATGATGACTGATAACAGCCCTAATGGGTAGCATGGGGGTCTTGGGATCAGCTGCCTAGGACAAGGCAGGCCCAGAAGGGGTCAACTGTAAAATGTTGGTGAGGAGGGGTTATAAACCAGGCTTCATCCCCATGCCAACACGGTCAGGAGGCCAGAGTTTGAACACAGCCCTGGCACGTTCATGCTGTGCACCCTCAGGCAAGTCAGTAACTTCTCTGAACACATTCCCAGTCTACAAGATAAAGAGAAAAAAAAAACTACATTCAAAGGTGGTGTTTTGGGGAGTGAGAGGGGAGACTGAATAAATTAGGTGTCCATCCCAGTGCAGTGCCCAGCACATACAACGTACTGAAAAGATGAAGAAAATGTTTTCGTCTGGTAGTATCTTGGACAGTCTCATTTATATCAATATGCCTGGTCTTGATTCTGTTGGCCTAATTTACATATAATATATTTTAAACCATGAAGTATTGCAGTTAGCCTGGCACACTCAAGGGTTCATGATGTTCAGAAGCCCAAAACCTCAGACTCCTACCTCTGCTCTGCCTTGGAAACATTCTCTCTCTCTCTCTCTCTCCCCTCCCCCCCTCGGTCGGCCCCCCCCAGGCCATCCGCCTTACCCTTACTGAGAGCCTAGGCTTGCCCTTTGGGAAGGGAGAGCTACCACGTCATGCAGCTTTCGCTTTTTCCTCTGCAAAAAAAACTAAAGGCTTGGCTACTCTTCTGGACTGCAGGAGAAGGAACAAAGAGAACAGAACACAGATTAATATCTCAAAAAGTGACCTGCCACATCTGTGCACGTGTGTGTGTGTGTGTGTTATGCCTTGTTCTTTCACCAAATGGCATATCAGAGTCATATCTCCAGGCCAGAACATATATTTTCTGCATTCTTTTCAAAAATCACATACTAGTACTGTTCCATTGTGTAGTTATAGCATAATGTATTTTAACCTGTATCAGTAGCAAACATTTAAATCTCTTCTACTGTTTTGCTGTTTTAAATAATGCTTTAGTGACAATACTTGTATTACAGCTTTATGTAAAAGAATGAGAATATTTGTATGACAAATGTCCTAGAAATTGAATCACTAAGTCAAAGGATATGTGCTTTTTAATTTGGGTAGACAGTGTCAAATTGCTCTCCAAAAATTTGCGTCTATTTGCAGGCTCATCCAGTATATGAAAGTGTGTTTTTCTGCACCTTCAACAAGGGGTTTACTGATTTAAGGATTTCCAAACTGTCTAATCCTTATTGTTAGGTAAACAGAGATTTTGTTGTTCATTTCATATGTAGTTCTTTAATTATGAATGAAATTGAGAATTTTTGTATTACCTTTGGCTGTTCGTATTTTTTTTTTAATGTGAACTGCCTCTCCATGGTCTTTGCCTACTTTCCTACTGGGATATTCATCCTTTTCTTATTGATTTTTAGTAATGTTTTGGATATTAGGGAAATTAGTGTCTGCTTATTTTAAATGTATGTGCTGTGAATTAGAAATGATCTTATGCTACATAATCTCTAATGTTGAAGCAATTTCCTCTTTCAACTCAATGTCCAAACTGATCTTGCTTCTGTATGTGTGTGCACTTGCCTCTCCTAGGGGAACCCTTCAATGGCCAGCTGGTGACAGAAGGTAGGAGCCAGGAGGACGGAGAAGGGAAAGAGAGACATGAGGAGAAGGAAGACGTTCATGGTGAGGCACCTGAAATGTTCACCTCAGAGTCTGCGCAGACCTTCCCGGTCAGGCATCCAGATAGATTTTCTTCCCATCGACCAGACAGTTTGGTGCCACCAGCACCACAGCCCCCAAGGCGAAGCCGGGATCATAATTGGAAGCAGCTGGGGACAACAGAGTGCTCCACAACCTGTGGGAAAGGTGAGCCTGTGTGCAGGACAGGAGGGTCCCTGCAGATCCCCAATCGAGAAATGTGTGGAAGGGCCCAGGGGACATGACAGCCCTCACCTCCATGAGACGGCTGTGAGACGGCTCATTACTGTGACACATTGTGTTGGGGTACCATCCTCAGGCTCAGCGATCCTCTAGAAGGATTTACAAGACTCAGAAAAGCTGTTGTGATCCTGATTACAATCTATTGCAATAAAAGGATACAGATCAGAATCAGCAAAGGGAAAAGGCACATGGGCAAAGTCCAGGAGAGACCAGATGCCAGCTCCCAGGTCTCCCCTCCCAGCAGAGTCAGACAGGGACACACTCAATTCTCCCAACAATGACGTGTGACAATGCGTGTCAAGTACTGCCAACCAGAAACACTCACCCGAGCTTTGGTATCCAGGGTTTTTACTGGGGTCAGTCACATAGGCATGCAGCTCCCACGTGACTGACACTAGCTACTCAGCCTTTAGCACCCTCATGGTCAAACTAATACAACACAGCCCAAGGCCTCAGACATACAAAAACATGCATTCAGTATAAATCACATTGTTAGCATAAACTATCTTGTCAGATCAATACAGCATGGCCTAGGAACTCAAGGATAGAAAAACACTCTTGTCAGGAAGGATATTCCAAGGGATTAGAGGTTATCTCCCAGGAGTTGGTCAAGGGCCAGTCATGAAGACAGGCCTTTCTTTGGATGTGCAGGGTTTGAGCAACCCAGGCCTGCTGAGTGAACCCTTTCCTGCACACACATGTTCATTAATAATCACAGAATACACTCACATACTTCAAGGGCTAAATGTTGATGTCCAAGTAAAGGTTGTGGAAGACCTACACAAATGCCAGTTGAAACTCATTCTCAAGTCTAAGGATTTCAGAAAAAACATACTTTTGGACCTTGGAGTGTTGGTTAGCTAGCTTTGACACTCACCGACACAAGTCCTGTGTATTCTCTCCCAGTAAAACCTTAATCCTGGATTCATCCATTATCTTAACCCAAGTACCTAGGACCACCAGGGACAAATCTGTAGCCTGACAAAGTCAGGTTTATTGACTCCTTGCAACAAGGGAGGCCATACACCAGAGCAAGCATGGGGCGTGTCTCCAGACAAAAGAAAAGAGAGTGGTAGATTTGGGAGAAGGGTGTTTAGGTGAAATTTAAAGCAGAGTTTTGACAGGCTCAAAGCAAAGCATGGCTGTGTGTAAAGGGGTTACATCTGGCTGTGAAGTGGACACAGGGGCCTGTTTCCTAGAAAACTCCCAAGTTAAGATCAATGTGGAATGTAGTGTTCAGAAACCCCTTATCTGAAGTTCTGCGTTGGTGTACCTGGGTTGGTGCTGCGGTTTTAAGGTGACTTAGATCCTCATTGTAAGGATCCATCTGTGAACTGTGTAGTTATAATTTCCTTCATGTATATGATAAAAGCCTCCTGTTTGTAGTAGAGTCCTAATTATTCCCCTAAAACATCTGTTCTTTGAGGGGAGGTTACTATAGAAACAGAAACGCTGTATCTCCCAGGACTCTCTGCAAATTGGGAAAATGTGTGATACTCCCAGCGTACTGGTTTGGGGTTGTTTGTGGGGTTTTGGAGGGTTTTTTCCTTCAAGAAACTTATATCTGAGAGTTCAAAATTTGGTAACTTTGACAAAATTAGCAAAAGTTTTTGTGGAAAAACCTCCCACAATTTCTAAAGCTTTTATCGTTTTCATAAAAGCATTGGCTTTAGTGGCTTTTGAGAGCAGAACTTAGGTCTTTGGTTCTTCGGAGCTGGAGCTGCCTAGAGCCTCTGCACATTCCATAATGACTTGGTAACTGGTCTGGTGGTTTACAGAGGCTTTATTGTGCAAATTTTATTGTGCTCATACTTAATACACATGCAAAGAATGTGGACCAGAGAATCATTGGACCAACTTCTTATATAAGCTTTGTGAGGGAAAATTAAATGCCTGTAAAATGTGTCTTGACAGAGGCAGAAAACTAGAAATAATTCTGCATTAAAGCCAAAATCATTTTAGTGAGAATCTGTCCATGACATTATAGAGGTAAGCAGTATGTAATATAATTAATATAGGAACCCAAGATCAAAACGTATTATTAAGTTTCATACCATTTAGGTAGTGGTGCGATGCCCATTAAAGGAACCAGCTACACTCAGAACTAGGTGAAAGCAGGGAAAGTTGTAAAAAGGGTGAAAATTGTAAAAAGGGTGAAAGTTGTCATTGTGTAGTTTTATATCGAGGGTGGCATGTGTGGAAGATTTTCTTCCATCCTGTCCAGAGATCACAAGGCACTGCACTGTGGATGAAGTGAGGACAGAAGCATGTGTGCTTTGCCAACTCGTCCTTCACACCTCTCACAGTCCTGTGCTCACTGCACAGACGCCACTTACTCATCCAGGCGGTCGTTCAACAGGTCTCTGCCTTTTCTGTACCAGACATGATGGCGAGACCCCTGTATGCAAAGGTTGTGGTTATTTTGCCCCCCAACCCAGCCCAGGCTGTGGGCTCCACGCTGTGGTAAAAAATCTCCCTCCCTCAGTATTCCCTGGTATCTGGCCAGCAAACTCCTGCTCACACTCCAAGCTCAGATACCACCTCCGCTGTGAAGCCTTCCTGATTCTGCAAGGCCCAGGTAGGCACTTCTTCCTGGGGGCCTCACAGCAGTTGAGGACACATTTCTGTCCCAGTCATGATTGGCTTGACTGCCTCCATGAGTATATGTACACTTAGCAACCTCTGCACTTGATATCACAAAGTAGGCAGTCTTCCAGTGTTTCTCGAATAAATGAATACGTCATCACCACATTTCAAATGCGGAAGATATGGGCTACTGGAAAAGATACTATGGTAGTTTTCACATCTTCATTATATCCTAGATATACAAGTCAATTACTGCCTTTAACCATGTTCTATCAGTGGTATAAAGAATATGGGTTTACATATTCAAAACTGAACAATCTTTTTCTCTAGATTTTCTTATGATTTTGCTTAGTCTTTTAAGATAGCATTTCTCCTTTGCATTGTAGATATACACACACAGACTCTTACTGGATTGTGAGGTATGGGATTCAGCATCCATACTATCCATTTAAAATATTTAGCCTGTATATACCCACATGTGCAAGTACAGACACACGTGGCATCTGCCAATCAGAATGTCCACTGTCACACATCCATCCTCTTCTTTATCCTGGTAGACAGCACTTGTTCTCGGGACAAAGAGATACGGAAGAGGTGCCTTGGAAATAAAACAAAAACAGAGATGAATTATTCCCATAGCCTCCCTTCTTTGGTAATCCTAGCTCCCTTGCAGCAGCCCGTGGGTGCCCCGTCTCTACTCACAGGCAGTGATGGCATCAGACGTGCAGGGCAGGGGAGGCGATGTGGATGTGCTAAGCAAGTAGCTCACCTCACGGTCATCAACAGTAGTGACAAGTATGCTGTGACCAAGAAGGTCCAAGCCTGTGCTGCCAACTCAAGTCCATTCCCCTTGAGATCTCATCGTTTGTCCACTTACGGTCCCTCTCCCAAGCTCTGCTCCAGTCCTTCCCGGTCTGGCTAACCACACCACACATTTCTATGCCGCTCACTTTCTCTCTTTGTAAATGCTTTCAGCATCGTGATGTCATCATCTCAGGGAGGGACCTTGTTGCCAGGTGTCTAAGAATGGCCCACACTCAACATGGTCATTGCCCAGACCTCTGTCAAACTCTTGGCTTGGCTCAATTGATTCCTGGAGTTCCAAGTCTAGAGTTAATTCATTTTTTCTCTCCTTCTTTTGTTTCTCTCTCTATAATGTCCCACTGACCTCCACGCTATCCCCTGAACTCACTGACTTACCCATTTATTGTCTCCTGATTACCCGTGGTACAGTTCCTTCTCCAACATAACATACTTCTATTCTGATCACCATGCCCACATACAAGCCAACCAAACTGATCCCAGATTTTTCCTGCTGCCTGAAGCCCAACCAGCACTTGACCTCATGCCCTGTTCTTGCTTGCTAGCAATTAGAGGAATAATTGAACGTGGGAGGTGGCCGGGTGCCATTTCGAGTGAGAGCATCCCTTCCTGCAGATATTAAAACTGAGGAAAGAAACCATTGCAATCACTGGAGTCAAGAGTTGTAGATGTGGTATTTTGTCACCACCAGAGAGACAGAGATCCTCTGACTTCATTTCCTTGGCTTATGTGTGTGGAGCTGGGCCATGGACAATACATGTAAGGGCAGTAAAAGGGGGGGAGAAGGCAGGCCACGTGCCAAACCACCCCAAGCAGGACCCATCTTTGCAAGGCACAGAGCATTCCTATGGTATCCTATATCCATTTAAATATCTAAAATATTATATTTCCCCTTACTTGAGTGCCAAGTGGTTGGGGTAGCTAATTTTGCTTTCCAATTCTCAAACTTGCAAGTGGAAAAGTTAAACCCACTCTGTGTGGAAGGAAAGGAATAGGCTAAACAAGATCTTTATTTAATCTCTTAACAGCTGAGTCCAAAATGGGTACAGTGCAAGCTGTGAACCCAACCTTATTCATCTTTATAACTCAGCACAATGTGCTTACTATTTGTTGAATTTAATTAAAAATCTCTTCTATTTAATGGAAGGAGATATGTAGCTGGACAAAATTTAATACCACAAAAGTTTTTGCTTCCCATTAATTTTGCAATCAGTACTGCTTTTTCCTCAGCTTATAATTATGCTAAATTGGAACATTATTTTGAATAATGGTCTCAAGTTATAGTTATACTATACATTTTTCCTGCCAGAATAATTTAAACAAATGATCGTTTCAGATTCAAAACTGCCTTACAAACTGTCAAGTTTCTTACAAGAACTACCCTCTGCCCAGTGTGTCATACAAGGTCACCTCCAAGAATCATTGAAACTCTTTCCTGGCTGATGAAATATTGAGAACTTATGTTAAAAGTTGTCCTTCTCGGTACAGTTAAAATTGCAACAAGTTGGAGTTTCAGAAAATGCCCGGCCAATTAGCAACAGAGATAAGACAGAATTGTAGAATAAATCACAGTGTTCTTCCCAGCAGGAATTGTGTGCAGGCCTAGACTGTGGGGTCGACAGTTATTTGTGAAGAAGCATCTTCAGATGGCTGGTTCAGACGGCCGGTCGCTGGGTTACATCTCTCACTTCGTAAACGCCCATCAGTAATGCTTCAGTGCTGCTACCAGGCAGCAGCAGAGAGAAGAAGGCAGAATTGACTTGTCTTTTTTTTCTTTTTTTCCCCATTGAGATCTAGAAATTCCACTTAACAAATTATCGTTTTTGATTCAAAGTAGATTTACCCTTATTAAGCCAATGAAACGAGGCTGTGTATTTAAAACAAAAATCTTGAGTCTGTTAGTATTAGTTTAGCACAGTAATAAAGACAAGTATTTGACCTCTGATAAATATTCACTCAACAAACTTGTACTGAGCACCTGCTCCTCTGCTAGGTACCGGATTTACAGAGATGAGCAAGAACTAGTCCTGGCCCTGAGAAGCTCACTGTTTCGTGGAAGCAGACATTTCCTCTGATAACTGAAACACCGTTGGATTGGTACTTTATTAGAGGAATGTGTAAAATGCTTTACAAAGCGGGAAGGCAACTGCTCATCTACCCTGTCTTGAATCTTCTTACTTCTCTGCTTCCACCTAACTGTCTCTTAAACCTACCTGGTATAGCAGCCCAGTTTGTTGAGCGGGCACTTTTATTCCAGTTTAGTGACCTGGACAGCCCCATTTCTCCAGTACATACATGCACACACCTACCCAAGCCCAACCCTTTCTCTAGGACCTAGCTTGGCCCTCCAGGACATTTTCTCTCTTATGCCTCCAGAGAACCTTTGAAAAGTTACTGTTCGTGTTATTTTATAATCACTCCCTTGCTGAGTGATCTCTCTTTTGTTATCTTGAACTGTTATGAAAATTGTTTTTCTCTGCCTTAAACACGTACAAACCATGTCCACAAATAGATTATAAGCTCTTTGAGGACAGGAACTGTTTCTGACTCTTCTTTGCAACCCCACAGTTCCTGGCAGAGCCCTTGTGAGGCAGGTGTGTATAAACTCACGAAGGGAAAGGAGTGTGTGTGTATGTGTGAACAGTCCTCACTGTTTCAGTGCCCTGTCTCCATCAGCACCTGAGTCTGCGCATGTCCACCATGCGTGGGACTGTCCTTCAGCCATTCTCTTTGTCACTGCAGGATCGCAGTATCCTATTTTTCGCTGTGTGCACAGAAACACTCATGAAGAGGTTCCTGAGAGCTACTGCGACTCCAGCATGAAGCCAACCCCCGAGGAGGAGCCCTGCAACCTCTTCCCCTGCCCAGCCTTGTAAGATGCCTCTCTGTTGAGGTCACCTGTTACTCAGTCTTCTGGTTGCATGTGCATAGGCTGTTAGTAGCGGATGTAACCTAATTTTTAAATCAGTCTAAATTTGATTTAGAAACATAAGTCTTGGACTGTGCAGTCTGTTTAGCAAGTGTACCTGTCTTTGAGGATAAATTCAGGAGCTGATGCCCGTAGCAAGTCAGCACACTCCAGGAAGCCCTCCCTTTGGAAAATTGGAGCAATTCGGTTTTAGCCTGGTATGGAAAACAAAGAGGGAGCAATGTGAATCCAGTGTAGTCAGGGTTGGAGGTGACCTGTGGACAAAGAGAGGCTAATGAAAGTCATGAAAGCATCAGTATGGAGAAGTCAGGAAAAAATGTCCTGGGAGAGGTCTTGGACTGGTCATTAAATGATAAATAGGACACTTGCGGAAGAACAGAGGGAAAAGGCCCCAAAAGGGTCAAAATCTAATTCTAAGAGTAATAAAAATGTAATTCTTCTTCAAATACATAATGAGCATGTGCTAATGTCTCATTTAACCAAGTAATAATGGAGCTGGATAACGGAGTATGCGAAACTGATAGGAAAATAGTTAATGACAAATAAAGAACACCGGAATTAGATTTCTTAGTTCCCAAGTAGCTTAATGTTCTACGGGATAATAAAACTAACTTTTGAAGTTTTGTTTCTTTTTTTACTAGATAAAAATCATTTGGATCTTCTGAGTTTTCTGTAATTTTTTACAGAATCTGGGCCTTAGTCAGTGGGAAATAGCATGTTGAACAAAGTTACCTTCCTTTAAGGAGTCAGAGGACCATTAGGCAAACTTTTAAGCAATGGTCTAGTAAGAGAGTCACCCGTAGTGATTCTGATGACTCTGTGTAAATTGGCTTGGATCCATGTTCCCTGCCTGCTAAAACTGAAGTTATCTGTCTCTCTCGTGCTCTCTTTCCTGAGCTAGCTGGGACATCGGGGAGTGGTCAGAGTGTAGCAAAACCTGTGGCCTGGGCATGCAGCACCGCCAGGTTCTGTGCCGCCAGGTGTACGCCAACCGCAGCCTCACGGTGCAGCCCTACCGCTGCCAGCACCTGGAGAAGCCTGAGACCACCAGCACCTGCCAGCTCAAGATCTGCAGTGAGTGGCAGATCCGTTCGGACTGGACCTCGGTACGTGGGGTGGGGAAGCCTGCTCTGGAATTCCCTCTCCCAACAGAGATGGATAACCCTGAGTTCCCCAGGTGGGGATCCATCCCGAAGTGTCTGAACCGCTGTTTTTGCAAACCGTAGGATGCACCAGGAGCTCAATAGAGTTGAGGCTGGTGTGCAACACCCACAGCTGGCTTTAGGGGTGAGCCATGGGACCCCTAAATGGGGTGAACAGGCAGACCCCATCTGTTTCATGTGTCATGGTGGAGTGAAGTTTGGCAACCGCTGGTAGAGCCAACTCCTTCCAGTCCTGCTCTCCCATTTTATAGATGAGAAAGTGAGGCCCAGGGGGATACAGTAGACAAGACATCTGAGAAGGTTTAGAGAAAAGGGTTGCAATGTGTTCTGGGGCTCACGTCCTCCCCCAGGAGGTTACATGCATTGCAGGTGACCCGGCAACACAGCGGGCCGGGAACAAAGGACAGTCCTCGGAGCTAAAGCTGCCCGTTCCGCTGATGGAAGCTGCTGTGTTTTAGTGCTCAGTGCCCTGCGGTGTGGGACAGAGGACCCGCGATGTGAAGTGTGTGAGCAACCTCGGGGACGTGGTCGACGATGAGGAATGCAACATGAAGCTCCGGCCAAATGACATCGAGAACTGCGACATGGGGCCCTGCGCCAAGAGCTGGTTCCTCACCGAGTGGAGTGAAAGGGTGAGCAGTGGCGGGCGGAGGGCGGGCTGAGGTCCGCGGGGCTGGTGGGCAGCAGCTGTGCGCCACCAGTGCCCACACCACAGCGACCCCAGTCCCTAGCTCAGAATCCCCCGGCTGGCCTCTGACTGTGGAAAAAAGGCCCAGAGATGGATCCCTGTAGGCTTCTACCCTTCTAGGAGGACCGAGGGGCTCCCAGATTGAGGAGCGGGTGTGAAGAAATGAGCCTAATTCTCCTTAGCACTCCACGTGATCGTTAAATAGTGAAATACTGAATAAAGTGAAAAATTACATCACACCTTCCCCAGGTCTGGTGAGTGCCTGGCATATAATAGGCACTCAGCAAATAGCAGTCCCTGTCCTGCGTCTTACTGACTCAAAGCAGTGTACATGCTGTTCCCCTCCCCAGAAGCCTGGCCTCCCCTGGAGTCCCAGGTGTCAGGTGTCAAAGAATACCTCAAAGGCGTATACAAGGGTCTGCAGTAGTGCTGCCAGTGTTCGCACAGGTTTTCTCTCCCTCCGCGTTGTAATTAAGATGCCTGTTAATTTCATTCCTCTCATCCCTGTAATACTCCATATTAGTGGGGAGTGTTATCCAGAAAGAAAGGAAGGACAGACCTGCAAATGCAGCCTTCGCTCCACCTTCAGAGGTCACCCTGGAGATTGTCATGGAGTGATTCATTTTCCTGTGGACCCCCCACACCTTATGGCACACAGCCCCTGCCCCTCAGCCCCTGGATTTCCCCATATGCAGAGCCCTGGGTGCAGAGCTCCTACAATGAAGAGCCAGCTATAGTCCCTGTCCTAGGAGTAGACTATAATGGGTACCAGATGAGCCACTGGGTGGCTCTAACTAAAGAGAACCAAATGGAGAGTAAGTGCCACCTTGCAGGTGTGGCCACTGACACAGACTTCTGCCCCTGAAGTTAAGTCCAGCAGAGCTCACCCCAATTCTGCTCCTGTATCCCCGTTGTCCAGAACTCCCAGCCCCAACAGTAGCCCATGGTGTTGTGGAAACAGTGCTGGAAGGTGTACACGATGTCGCTTTGGTCAGCCTCCCTGCAGCGTGAGGAATCCTCTGCAGCGTCCCTCACATAGGTCACCAGGCTCAGAAATTCACTGTGTCCAGACAATGACGTCTATTTCTTGTATAGCTCCAGGTGTTGGGAGGTTTCCTTTTTATGTTGAGCCAAAGTGTTTCTTGCTAACTCGCACTGTCCTGTAGAAAATCTGAGTGCCCTCTCCCTACACAGCAGCCCTAGGGCCATTTGGGGACCCCTTCCGTGACTTCTCCAGGCTCAACATTCCTAGTTCTTTCAACTGATTCTTTTGTGCTTTAGTTTGTGTTCACGGTAAACTTGATGAAATGTTAATTTTTTTTCTGGTTATAAAGTAACACAGTATTACAAAAAATATGAACTCTTATAAAAGCATGCCCCAAATCTCTCCACTGAAAGATAATAATTTGAGATTTTTAAAGCTATACTGCTAAGCTTTTTGCTACTCGTACATATTTTAAGGATGTAAATCATAATGTATATACAATCTTGACACCTGCTCTTTTCACTTATATATTGTAAACATTTTTATGGTGTTAAAAACCTGTAAGACATGATTTTTAATAATAATAAGGTATTATAGAACTATTATAATTGAATCAATCCCCTATTTCTAAACGTTTGGGGTTTTTTTCTAATTTTTTACAACTTTATATAGGATATTCAGTAAATGTCCTTGTACATAAATCCTTATATGCACCTTCCTTATTTCTCTAAAATAATGTTTAAGAAGTGGAATTCTTGTGCCAAATGTTGTGAATGATTTTAGAACTCTTAATACATTTGGCAAATTTCTCTCCTGAAAGATTATTTCAACTCGGAGTCTCAAGCAGCAGCTGAGAGAGCTCTTACAATCGTTGTATTGCAGTGATTCTTTACAGTTATTTAGTTCCATCTCTCTACATTTGCTACTCTCCAAAAAGGCACAGAGCTCAGACACAAGAAAAAGCAACTATTTAGGGAAAAAGAAAACTGCAATGGTTCCTTCCTCTGTGTGTCTCCCATGTTTATTTAGAACAATAAAATTCCACCTATAGATTTCCTAAAGATTTTCCACACTAGCTATTTCCACTCCAATGTTGACTCATAAATTTCCTCTTAATGTACTTTTGCTTTGTGTTTTCACATAAGTACTTGCTGAATCTAGCCCTTGACTTCAAATTACAAATAGACCAAGGAATGGCATTTTATTCTTCCCTTGCGAGAATTGAACTTTTTTGTTGTTTTTGGAAAAGATGTTTTAAATCATGTAAGTTTGATGCTATGATGTAAATAAATAATTTTTGCTTTATATACCCCCAGAATATATCATTATTCCTAAATGCTCATGCTTATTTCAGAACAGATGAGGGGAAAGGTGTTACTGGGTTTGAGGAAAGCTTCCTGGCTTTGGCATCATTTCTGTGCCTACCACCTATTTCTTATTTGACCTTGAGCAAGCTGCTCGCTCTCTAAGCCTCAGTTTCCTCAACTGTACCATTGCTGAGTGAGCATGAAGGAATAACACATTAAAACCCATGACCTAGGTGAGGTTGGCATGGTAGGGTTTTCTGTGGGCTGCTTCATTCTTCTTAGGGTCCATGTCTGTACTGGGCCTTTGAGCCACCAGTTGGTCCTACAAAAGGTTCAGCCCTGGAGTGACCAGCTGATGGCAGTCTTCCACATTGGAGTGGTTGCTTCATGTAAAAAACCACACTCTTAAGCTTCAGTCTGCAATTTTTCCTCACTGCAAATAAATATGTATCGAGTACCTATCACTCGTGCTGAGCATGAGCGAGACACAGCCTCTAATTCAATGAGCTTGAGAGAAAGAGAGACCAAAGAAAATAAGGTTAAAGTTTACAAACACTCCAGAGTGTATCCCATTGCCCAATTTAAATTAATTCGTCTCCACTAAACGAATTGAGGCTGTAAATCCATTGTGAATCTTCTCTTAAATTTCTAGGGCTATAAAGTTCTTCTGGCCTAATGACTCACCTTAAAAACATCTTTGCAGCTACTTTTAATTGAGAATGGACCTTATCAGATGGAAGTATCATTTACTTTTTAGTTCTACAAATCAATGACAGGTTTAAACACATGCGTATGTTTTAATCACAACAGAAAAAAAAATTTAGAAAGTCCACCAGCCTCAGTTTTGTAATGTCTAATTTCCAAGGAAGTTTTCCAAGAAAAAAATTAAGAAAAAATATTGAGTTATTTAAATTTCAGAAAATAGATGCATAAAACTGAAGTTCAAGAATAGTCATTAGAACCTTATAGTCCCTCAGGGGCCAATTGGACCAAATTTAGCATTTAACTGTTGCTGGAATGAGAAGGCAATCCTCGCCAGAGGGTTGCTTAGGAATTCCATGAGTTTCTGTGTTTTATCAGCCCAGAAGTTCAATTAGGAGTCAGGTCCTTTTCTGACTACCAGAGCAGATTTGGTCTTTCTTTTAGGAAGCTCCTTCAGGAACAGTGAATGGGTGTGTTTTGATGCCTCACTCTGAAAGTTAGTCGCTGCTACATAATTTCTGATGATAGGCTTTCTGGGCCTGGGCCTGTGTGGGTAGCTCCTTTCAAATTTAAATTTATTGCAGTATTTCCTGTAGTTGGTATAATAAAGTAAAGCTCCTCCACAGGCCTCATCCATGTGATGTCTTCCTATTGGCACTAGCATGGTCTTTAACATTTGTCTTTTAAATTAAGCACATGGGGCTATGTGTATTACTTGGTTTGGAAAGCAGAAAATTAAGGTAGCTAGTCAGAGGGAAATTATCTGGAAAGAAATATTCTTAGGGTTTGAAACATGAAGGTAACTGAGATTTGATTTACTTTGCACCCTGTGCAGGAGAATTTAAATATCTTGAGTTTTAATGTTAGGAAGAAGACCAGATTATACATGGCCAAAACAAACAAACAAAAAAACCCTTTAGCCTAGAATATCCCAATTATTTTAACAAAGAATTTTTTTTTTCCTTTCTTTTGTCTTTTTTCGTGACCGGTAACGGGATCACAACCCTCAGTGTCGTGCCCGTACCGCGACCGGCAACGGGATCACAACCCTCGGTGTCGCGCCCGCACCGCGCTCAACCAATGAGCAGACCGGTCTCTATATGGGATCTGAACCCTCAGCGGGAGCGCCACCGCACTCCCAAGCACCGCACTCTACCGAGTGCGCCACCAGGCCGGCCCAACAAAGAATTTTTTTAACCTGAGTTTTTTTAACCTAAATTTTTTTTTTCCTTTTTGTCTTTTTTTCGTGACCGGCAACGGATCGCAACCCTCAGTGTCGCGCCCGTACCGGGCCAGGACCGGCAACGGGATCGCAACCCTCGGTGTTGCGCCCGCACCTCGCTCAGCCAGTGAGTGGCCGGTCTGTATGTGGGATCTGAACCCTCGGTGGGAGCGCCGCTGCGCTCCCAAGCGGCGCACTGTAGCAGTGCGCCACCGGGCCGGCCCTAACCTAAATTTTTTTAACCTATTCATTGTCTTAGATTTCTAATAACATTACAAATACAGCAAAAGTCAGGAAAAGTGTGTGTAAGCCTGCAGGGGAGGAAAAACTTTTCCTCTAGCTTTTAGATTCTCTGACAGTAACCTGTGAATTAACTTAACAAAAGATTAACAGAAGAAAAGCATACAAATTTTACATGATGTTAATATTTTTATGTAGCAGAGAGGGATTCTTAGGAAAGAAGCAAAAACCCTAAAGAAGCAGTTAAACTCAAGTGCTTATATACTACTTTAACAAAGGGTGATAAATTGTGGAGATGTGATTAGACAAAGGAAAAGGGTTTGAGGCTTCTACGGACAGTAAATTGTGGGAAAATGACTAAGAATATATGAGGGAAACTAATAGAAGATAAAGGTTATTTTATTAAGGTTTGTTTATGTGGACACATCTAGAGTCAGCTCCCCAACTCCAGTGATAAGAATGTTCTCTTCTTCCTGGTACTGGGAGGGCATCTTTCTCATGGGAAATTCATGCCCTGCTCTTAGGAAGAAAGGGGTAAAGTAGGGATCCCTCCCTGAATCTGCTGTTGCTCACCTGTCTTCAGTTCAAAATGATCGATATGCTAAAGAGGTGTATTTTTGGGTAGCATGTCCTGATCTCCTTCAAGCCCTTTGCTCCAGAGGCAGTTTCCTCCCTGAGAATTCAGGCCCAGCTCAGCAATGATCATGTAAACGATTACTCATGCTGGGCTGTAATTTTACAAAACTAGACAGCAGCATACAAAAATGGAAATTTTGATAAGAAAATGGGGTTGGCAGGATTTTTTTCCTCTTCTTAAATTTTATTTAAAATTCTATTTCTTTCATTTATTTTTTTAAATGGTAATGTTGGTAGAAATCAAACATTCATTCTGCTTTTAAGACAAGACCTGCAAACGTACAGAATGGACTTTAGTCATGTGCCAAAGAAAGTGTTGATAAGAGAAATGAGCAAGGTTGGTCCTGAGTCTATATTCATTTATTCAATTGATATTCATGATTCACTCATGAGTGAGGTGCTAACCTGAGAAGAAGTTAAAGATGATTCAAGAGTCCCTGCCCTCACCAAGCCTACTTCTATAAAGAAAAACAATAATAATAATAATAAGCAGGACACAGATAACTATAATACAAAGGAAGAAAACAGAGTATTGACAGCCATGAGAATTCTGGTTAAGCAATTAAGGAAATTTTCACAGAGGACATGGCATGTGAGCTGAGCTTTAAAGGATTCTGATGTGCCCTGGGGAAGGGCAGGAGCGTTCCAGGCAGAGGGAATGGCAGGGACAAAGGCTCTGGGAGCATTTCCTGTGATCCAGGAATAGCAGCCACTCTGGCTCTGTCCAGTGTGAGGACGTAGGATAGAAAAATGGGAAAATAGTCTAGAAGAATGGGTCAGTTGTCGTATATTGTAGGAAACCTTTAAGGCCAGTTGGGGGAGTCCATATGTGAATTTTGTTAGGAATGGGATGGCATCAGAGGGACTTTTTAGCTAGCATGGAGTTCTCAACACCTGGAAGCCAAATGCATTAGAAAAGCCAGTGAGGCTGAGCAAGAACCTGCAACCAGTGTCTGGGGAAAGAATATAAATGGTGTTGGGAACCACAGGCAGAAAGGGACCAGACAGAGACGAGAAATGTGGCTAAACTAGAATCAGCGAGACCTAATGGTTGGCTAGACGTGGAAGCAAGAAGGCAGAAGAATGGTCAACTTTTGAATCCAGGTAAAAACTTGAACATAAATCAAAAAGTCAAGATGTAGGGCCAGCCCATGGCTGACTTGGGAGAGTGTGGTGCTGATATGGCCACAGGTTCGGATCCCTATATAGGGATGGCCAATTAGCTCACTTGGGAGAGCGTGGTGCTGACAACACCAAGTCAAGGGTTAACATTCCCTTACCAGTCATCTTTAAAAAAAAAAAAATCAAGATGTGGAATGGTAATGGTGGTGAAGATGTACATGTTGGATGCA